CTCCTTCAGACTCTAGCAGCAATCTTGTGGGTCCTTCCAAATGCTATCATCTTTCCTTCTATCTCCTCTTGCTTGAATTCCTGCTTTAACTCCTCATTACTCTACCTCCTTCCTCTACTGTAATTCCTCCTTTAAATTCTCTTTGCTAAACATTTTGCATCAGAAATCTTGTTAGTCCCTTCAAATGCTCCCACCACTCTTTTCTGAGAAAAAAGGTAAGTCAGATTTTTTAAAATAGACAAATAGATAGACAGATAGGCCCCCAAGTAGTCTCACATGACTGAAATTCGTTCCAATCCTGCTGCAGTTGCCCATCCCTGCTTTAGACTTAATGGTTCTTTAGCATTTGTCAGCTAAATCTATCTGTTCTGGCTTTCTTTTATCACACACTGGCCACCTGTGACCTACAGCAAAATCCAGACAGGCAAGGTTACCATCAACACACACTTAAGCATTCTTAAGTACTGGAATCTCAGGGTGTTTATACGGGAGAATGTGCAGACTGTTAGTTTTGAGGCTATTTATTATATGCACAAATATACACACTTCCCTTAGGGAGAAACACTGATGTGTCAATGTCTAGGCACATTATGCTCGTCCCTCCTCATTTGCAGCTTTGACTTTTACGGCTTTGATTATTCATGGATTTTAATTGTATGTTATCTCTAGGAATATCTAGGTCCTCCAAAGCAACTCTGGTCAACTTTAACCAAAAGTTGTACTGAAGGACCTAGAGATTACTAGAGAGAACACTCCACTAGGCATTTGTAGCTCCTCCAGTGCAATTCTACGGTCAATGGCTGGCAGATGTTGACCACAGAGTTGCACAGGAGGACCTAGAGATTCCTAGAGAGGTGTTCTCTCAGGTAAAAACATTGTGTTTTTGTTATTTGCAATTTTTCCACATTCACAGGGGTCCTGTGCCCCTAACCCCAGCGAATTTGGAGGGACAAATGTACTTTCATTACTTCAATTGAACGTAAGGCCTTCTATATTCATTGTATTATAGTATATGATAGTTAAGGTGTTACACTTTCAGGAAGACTGAACTTTTATTCCAGCTGCATTTCTTTAGCAGGTTGCTCTGTGGGTAAACACAGAAAAAACATTACTACTTAAATAATATAACTTAGCCATTTAAATAATATAACTTAGCCCTCTTCTGTTGAGGAAATTTACATCTCTACACAGGCATCTGTGAGCACACAGGCATCTGAGTGGTTATTATTCCTGGGTACTGCTTTATCTAACAGCATTCATTATATATCTATAAATATCTGTAATAGGTACCCACTATATTCATAGTGAGAAATATATCTATTTAGCGTAGCCTAGCTGAAAGCAGATATTCTCTCTTATTAGAACATTTGTTCATTTTCAGTATGTCTGGGCAGTTACCAGCTAGGAACAGCATAGCTGTTTATCAATAGCTCTCTTTGCATGATGAAGGCAAATACTCAAGACACTTGACTTCCATCTCTTTTTGGCTTGTTTTATATATTCTGTGGTCTAGTCAGCTGACATATCTTATTCAATAAAAAAAATAATAATGACTCACCATCTTCAATTTAAGTAAACAAAGAGTCTCCTCCCTAGATGTGGTGTAACACAATGTACAGTTGGCTACCATCAGATTACATTACATCTGATTGTATCAGCTGGTACTTACTCTTTAACACAGCACCTGACTTGGGTTTATTATCAATCAATATATTGTTTTGCTTCTTATCATTAGTTAAAGTTCTGTTGGTGTTATGCCTGGAATTATCCAGAGTCTTATGTAACACAGATATACACACACATGCCACAACACACAGCTTTCTGCTTTATATTTCTAAAAAAACTTTAAGTTTTGGATTTTAAATTTTGCAAATTAGAATCCTAATCAGCACATCAGACTACCTGATTCCCAGACCTGCAGTAAAGGAATATAGTCTTCAAATCTGCAGAGCGGCGACCGTCACTGAAGTGAATGGGGTGTGCCCCTGCAGCACCTGCCCCACACGCATACACAGGGGTGCACCCCATTCATCTCAATGGGGCTTAAATATAGGCGGGTCTTCTAACTCATGGGGGAGGGGGGTCTGGAACGGCTCCCCTATAAGTTAGGAGGAGTGACTGTACATTATATATATATTTTTTAAAAAATGCATGTCTTCTATTGTAAGCAAAATGAAATGCATGGGCTTAAATGCTATACACTTGTCCCTCCCCGTTCACGGACTTGGAGTTCGTGGTCTTTGGTTCTTCGCATTTGAGGCTACAGTGTTACACACACTTACTTGGAAGAGAACCATTGATTATTTATATCCTGTTCTATAGCCAAAAATATCAGGGCAACATACAAAAAAATCAATTTAAGGGAGCCAGTGTGGCGTAGAGGTTTGAATGTTGGAGTATAAATCTGGGGACCAGAATTCAACTCCCTGCCTGGCCATGAAACCCACTAGGTGATCTTGAACAAGTCACATGCTCTCAGCCTCAAGGGAATACAATGGCAAATATCCTCTGAACAAATCTTGCCAAGAAAACCCCATGATGGGGTTGCCATAATTTGGAAATGACTTGAAGGCACACAACAACAACAACAACAAAACAACAACAACAACAATAACTGACTCTCTCTCTCTCTCTCTCTCTCTATACACACATATACACACACTCACTCATCCCTCCCTGTTCACGGACTTGGAGTCTGCAGTCTTGCTCCTTCGCGGATGGCAAGCGGAGGGGACAAAACGGCGTGTGTGCAGGAGTGCACCCATTTTAACCAATGGACTTTAAATATTTGCATTTTTTCGATTCATGCGGGGTGTGTGTGTCCGGAATGGCTGCATCCACACTGCAGAAATAATCCAGTTTGACACTGCTTTACCTGCCATGGCCCAACGCTATGGAATCCTTAGATATGTAGTTTTGTGAGACATTTTGCCTGCTCTGTCAGAGTGTTCTGGTGCCACAACAAATTCAAGAATTACATAGCATTGCGTCAGGGCAGGTAAAGTGGTTTCAAACTGGATGATTTCTGCAGTGCGGGCAGCCTGAATTTATTTCATCAGATGCTTCTAGGAACTCAATTTAGTCCTGATTCAGTAGGTCTACTCTATGCAAAGGGATCTTGCAACGCCTTTGAGACTAATCCCCACTGCAGAAACAATGTAGGTTGACACCACTTTAACAGGAATTCAAAGATATAGCTGTGTTAGTCTGTAGAATCACTATGTAGAAAGATCTTGTAGCACCTTTGATACTGAAAGAAAGAAGTTGGCAGCATGAACTTTTGTAGATTTCTGTCAACTTCCTCAGATGCTTTTGGTGGAGTGGAAGCCAGGGACAGAGAAAGAGAATGTCAATTCAAATTCCAAATCCTTTGTATATGCAAATGAAATAGCAAGTCCAGTTTTAACAATGGTCATTTCTGGACAAAGACATAGCCATTGGGTATGGTAATGAGGTGGCAAGATTTACCACTTTAACTACTATGGCCCAATGCTATGGAATTCTGGCAATTGTAGTTTGTGGTGGCACCAGAGCTCTCTGACAGAGAAAGCTAAATGCCTCACAAAACTAAAAATCCCAGAATTCCACAGCATTGGGCCATGGCAGTTAAAGTGGTATCAGATTGGATTATTTCTGCAGTGCGGAGAGACCCTCACTGAAAAGACAGAAATTGGTAGCATGAGCTTTCATAGACTTGAGCCTAATTTTTCAAATGCATCTGAGGAAGTAGGATCAAGTCTAATAAAGGTCATGCTACCTACTTCTGTCTTTCAGTTACTCTCAGAGGTGCCACAAGATCCCTTTGCATACTGGTTTTCCAGACTAACATGGCTATAACTTTGAATTCTGCCTCTTCTATGTCTTTCTGTCTATTCTATTCAATATATATATATATATATATATATATATGTCTTTGAATTCTGACCATCTGCACTGCATCTACACTGCAGAAACAATGGTGTTGATCACCCCTATGAGAGCTGTAGTACCATCCTATGGAATCCTGGGATTTGTAGTTTTACAAGGTCTTTAGCCTTCCCTGCCAATGAGGGCTGGTGCCTCACAAAACTACATATCCCAGGAACGTGTAGGACGGAGCCGTGGTAATTAAAAGTGGTTCCAAACTGCAGCATTCCTGCAGTATAGATGCAAACCACGACTAAGGGTGCGTCTACACTGCAGAATTAATCCATTTTGTCACCGCTTTAACTGTCACGGCTCCTTCTTATAGAATCCTGGGATTTGTAGTTCGTCGTGGCACCAGAGCTCTCTCTAACAAAAGAGGTCTATAAATATCTCACCAAAAACCCCAACTCCCAGAATTCCACAGCAGGAAGCAGTGGCAGATAAAGCGGTATCGAGTTGCACTAACTCCACGGTGTAGATGGGGCCTGACTCTGCACCCAAGGCAGTGAATCCTGAGCTTGATCCTCTGAAGAAAGAGTAGTGATCTTAAAAGACCCACTGAATGCTGGAAATCAATTCTATTCGACCACTAAAGAATATGGGATTACACAAGACATATCTGTTCAGAGAAACTACAGGCTGAGAACTGGAAATGGGCGGCATCCACGGCTGTGTATGTGATCCTTCTCCCCCAAAAGGGGCGCCCCATTTCCCTCGCTGCGAAAGGCTCACCTGCCCCTCTCCCTCTTCCCGCTCTGGCCCCTGTTCGGCCATTTTGTCATAAAGACGCGTTTCATCGCCCACCGGCCCAGCCAGTCCTATTTTGCTCCTCGGCGCTTTCCGTACACGCCCGTCCTGAACTTCAGGAGGAGAGAGAATGGACGCCGTGGTTTCCATGGAGACCACGCCTACACTCTCCGCTCCTCTATCCCCCTCCCTTCTTTCTATTCTACTGTATTCGGTCAAGGTAGAGCAGGGCAGCCCGCTGATTGGTTGCTGGAGGGGCACTTGGTAGCCAGGGCGGACATTTGCTGAACGGGCGGAAGTACCTTATTTGCATTGATTTAGAGTTATGGAACGCTTCTGAAACGAACTGCTGTGGCGCAGTCGTTTGAACGTTGGACTAGGACTCAAGGGACCAGGGTTCGATTCCCAGCTCGGCCATGGAAACCCACTGGGTGAACCTTGGGCAAGTCACACTTTCTCAGCCTCGGGGGAAGACAATGTCAAACCTCCTTTGAGAAAACCCCAAGATAGGTGGTTGGCCATAAGGTCGGAATAAGTCAGAAACGACCTGAAGGCATACAACAGGGGTAGGCAACCTTTCCCCTTTAAGGGCCGAGGGACTTCAGCTCCTAGAAGCCTCAGCCATGTTGGCCAATAGCTCCTGGGATTCTGGGAGCTGAAGTCCCTCGGCCCTTAAAGGGGAAAGGTTGCCTACCCTTGGCATACAACAACAGTAACAACAAGCTTCCTCCCCCCCCCCCCAAAAAAAAGCCAGCATGGTGTAATCCTAGAGTCCAGTTTGAATCCTTACTAAGCCTTTGGAAACTTACTGTGTGGCCTTGGGCAAGTCACACTCTCTCAGCCTCGGGAAGACAATGGCAAACTTCCACTGCAGGAAAACCCAATGATAGGTTTGCCTTAAGGTCACCATAAATCAGAAACAACTTGAAGGCACACAACAACAACAACAACAACAACAACAACAACACTTCCCAAAGAGAAATTTCCTATCTGAAATCGAACTCATTTTTCCAAACAGCTTGCCCTGGGGTGTGTTTGGCAGTGGTTAAAATAAGTAGGAAATTTCCATAATACTAAATTGTTTTTATATTCTTATGGACAGTGCCTGGAATTGCCTTTCATGTTGAAGCGCTAGGCTACATGGAAAGAGAAATCCCAGAAGTTTCAGGAAAGGAAGAGACACTAGGGATCACATTGCTAACATAAGATGGCAAATGGAGTGCACCAAGGAATTCCAAAGAAAATCAGCATGTGCTTTATTTGACTTCATAGATCATGAAAGGCTATGGAATGCCCTTAAAGACATGGGAGTGTGAACACATCTGATAGTCCTGATGCGGAATATGTACTCGGGACAAGAGGCTACTGTCAGAACAGAACATGGAGAAACAG